ATTCCCGTTGTCCTTCCCATCCCGGGAGCACCTTCTCCTTCTGCCTGACAAGCAGACCTTGTCTAGACCACGTTCAGCAGTGCTGAGTAATTCCCATTGTCCTTCCCGTCCCGGGAGCACCTTCTCCCTTAGCCTGACGTGCAGACCTTGTCTAGACCACGTTCAGCAGTGCTGAGTAATTCCCGTTGTCCTTCCTGTCCCAGAGCACCTTCTCCTTCTGCCTGACAAGCAGACCTTGTCTAGCAGGCTCAGCAGCATCCCAGAGAGTTGGGACTGCGGACTCAGATGAGGCCTTACCCTGCTCAGGGTACAGGTCTCACTCCCCATTCAGCGACCCACATCCTCGTGTCCTTTAGGACAACTGTTTAATAGTCACTTTCACTTCTAAAAAGAAAGGATTTGTGTCAAAGTACATCAACAGAGGCTCTGAATGACACCGATTTTTTTGAGATCTGTAACGGTATTCTATTCACAATGCTTTATCCTCAGCAGCAGACTCAGCTGCAGGAAACCCCGTTTACCAGTCTTCCAAAACTCCCTGAGCATTTACCCCAGCAGTGAGGGATCGAGGTCTGTTTCCAGGCCTCCCTCTCCCTGTCCTGCCAGCTCCTTGAGGACAGGAGTTAGGCATTTCCTGGTCCTGTGTTGGACTAGCCATGTGTGACATAGAGCAGCCACCTGGCATTTGTTGAGAAAACACGACTTACAAACCTGCCTCTTCCTTTCTCCTATTCTGCCTGTCTGAATAGGAAAGTGCAGCTATCCCTTCAGGCTCTCCTGTGAAGTTTTTACTTACACACCCGCAACTTCGGGAGCATACACTGTTCAAAGTCAGAGTGAAAGCCACCTAGAAGGCAGGAAAGCTGGCAGGGGCCCAGGCTCATCAGCAGAGACTGAGAAGGGGGCCTCAGCCTGGGCAGCTGCCAGACCCCCCTCTCCCCACCTCACCTTGAGATGTGGCACCACCTGACATTGGTGCTAAAACCAAGAGTGAGAATTTATTCCATGTTTATTACTGACATCAAAACAAAAGCAAAATATGGCTACATTATTTCTGCGAGATCTCTTTCCTTTTCTGAAACCCCCAACCTCTTTACTCTGATCGAAGTGAAGCTGAGAAAGAGAGGCTGGTGGCACACTCCTGCAGGAAGTGGAGAGACTCTCTCAGCAGTGTAGGAAAGTAGGTGTTTTTTTCCTTATGCCTCTGACATACGAACTGAGGTTTCATTACACTGACAGAGTCCAACCAGAATAACCAGCAACCTGATGGCACAAAATATGTCTGATTTCTCAGCTCTAGAATTTTTAACCTGCAATCTGTATTTTCAACAAAATGCAATCTTAGTGACTTCAGACCAAATAGCCAACTCTTGGTCAGTGGTGGTAAACACATATACACAATTAAGTCCTGTATATTTTTCCTATGGTGTAAATTCTTTGGTGGCAATAAGATACTTAGCACATTTCCAATTCTATAATAGGAGATAACGTACTTCCAAAGAACCAGTGTAGTTCCTGGAATGGGTCGGGTCATCTCTCAACACCAGCCATACTGAATGCAGAGGCTGAGAGGTGACAGACACTTCACCAAAGAGCAAGACTATCACCATGGCCACCACAGCTAAGGTGAAGCTTTTAGACTCCACTTTTCTAACTGCATTTATTTGCTGACTTTTGTTCCAGAGCCCGTCACCATGTACCTTCAGATGCTGATGGAAGTCGTCCCACCAGAGGAAGACCCTGAGTAACAAGTTCTGCCTTTCGTAGCCAAGTCAAAGCTTTGATGAATTTATTTTTGTAAGCAGTATTTGTGGTTATTTCTGATTTTTTCTTAAGAATAAAAATGTATTCAGATGTTTATGACACTGTCATTTTCAGACACCTTTAATTCCCTCAGTGAGGTTCCAGATAGGAGAAGTGACAGGTGTCGCCTGGCAGGTGGGCCGTCAGGCAAGGGTTGGTGAGAATCCCCACCAATGGGGGGAACGTCACATTCACCTAAAGGGTGTCCCATAAACACAGTGATCATACTGTTCTTTTATATAAAATTGATGATATTTTTGCTTTAATTAGCAAAGATTTCTTAAAGTACATGTTTTACTAAATACTCTCTACTCCGAAGATTGTCAGCTCCATTTTTTTTTTTTTTTTTTTTTTAATTTTTGGACAGAGTCTCACTCTGTCACCCTGGGTAGAGTGTTGTGGTGTCATAGCTTACAGCAACCTCAAACTCCTGGGCTCAAGTAATCCTCCTGCCTCAGCCTCCCAAGTAGCTGAGACTATAGGAACCTGCCACAACACCCAGCTAATTTTTCTTTTTTTGTTTATTTATTTTTTAGAGACAGTCTCTCACTTTATTACCCTCGGCATAGTGCCATGACATTACAGCTCACAGCAATCTCCTACTCCTGGGCTTCCATGATTCTCTGGCCTCAGCCTTCCTATCCTAGTAGCTGGGACTACAGGTGCCTGTCACAATGCCCAGCTATTTTTTTGTTGCAGTCTGGCCGGAGCCAGGTTCAAACCTGCCACCCTTGGTATATAGGACCGGCGCCCTACCCAGAGCCACAGGCGCCACCCAATTTTTCCATTTTTAGTAGAGACAGGATCTTGCTCTTGCTTAGGCTAGTCTTAAACTCCAAAGCTCAAGGGATCTACCTGCCTCAGCCTCCAAGGGGGCTAGGATTACAGGTGTGAGTCACTGTGCCCAGCCTGCCACCCCCAATTTAGTCGATGGTAAACCTGAGTGGGAGGTCTCAGCCTCCACTGCAGAGCTGACGGCCCTTCTGGAGCCACCACGGCATGTGTTCACAGGGCCCTGTTAGTGGTCAGCGGGGCTGGCTTCTCAGAAGCCCGCACCAGCATGCAGCCTGGCACAAGTGTGGTAAATACAGTTTTATTTTGCATTTGGACCTACAAAAGTACTGTTAAAAGCAGCAAAAAGTTAACCTAGGTGGAGTTCATTCTTCTCAGTAAAGTATCACAAGAATGGAAAAACAAACATCCAGCATCTCAATACTACTGTGAAGCCAGCAGACGATCTGACACACTATCGCCCAGGAGAAAAACTCAAGTCAGTGCAAGTTGGGGGAAGGAGGGGCCTGGTGTGCTCTCACATAGAGGGAGGGCACAGCGTTAGCATGTCTGGCACCCCCTGGGTGCAGGACACACTACAGGAGGGACTCTACCTAATAAGTTCAAATACTGTGACTAGGATGGTAGTACCTTCACAATAAACTGAAATTTTTAAAAATGTAGAAAGTACCATTTTAGTGGAACTACTAAAATTTTATTCCTATCACAACTAAGTGTGTGAGCAATTTTAGAAGCACAGAGATGAAAGTACTTTATACCTTGAATTTCAGAAATTTACCCCAAACTTGAAATCACACATATTAATAGCAGTACAGAAACCAATTACTAATTGTTTACATAGTCAGCATCCTATGTCCTACAAATTATTATTCAGCGCTTCAGAAAAATTGAATGTCTGAAGAAAAGAAATTGAGATTTGAACATACAGCCTTTCTCCTCAAGACATTCCTTTGGCTGCCTGTGAACTACACAAGAAAACTGGCAAATGTCTTTGGGAGCAGGATGCCCACCCACCGTCTGTCCCAGGGAGCACAGCTGTCTGTCTGCACGTCCGTCCATCCGTCTGTCCTGGGAAGCCGCCTCTGTGCAGCTCTATCACTTGCTACTTTATTTGCTGTGTTCTGCAAACAAGGTGCAACCAAACACAGGGTGCAGCAGGCAGCCAGCACCCCGGCAGACTGAGCACACCCAGGAGAGCCAGCAGCTCTGCGGAGGCCGAGTCACTGGCCCTGCCTTGCGGTGAGAGTGACACTGACGAGGACATTATGAAGAGACCTCCAGAGTCAAAATCTCTGCCAGCAAAGACACCAGACCCTTTTAGTCCTGAAGAGCCTGCCCAATTTAGCTGAGACAATGGTCAATCACCGTCTTACTTCATGGAGCAACTTAAGACCTGCCAGCCAACCTATAGTCCTCCTTCAGAGGGAGGGCGGTGGTCTGAGTCCCTGTCATGGAGCCGCTGTGCAGAGAGAATGGCCGGACCCAGCGGCACCTGCAGGCATTCCCAGAGGCGAAGCCAGGCCAGCAGCTGAATGTCTTATTTTACAGATGAGGAAACTGAGCCAGGGTGCGGTCCAGACCTGCCGTGGGATGGCTGGAGGACAAACAGTGACTGACACCCGGGGCACACATAAAGTTGGTCATTTTGCTTTCTGATGTTAAAATAAAAAAGGCCCTGTGTTGGCTGTGACAGTCTCCTTCTCCATTTCCAGGTGAAGTGTGAGGCCTGACCCTGAGGAAGGGCACAGCGTTTTAAATTCTCCAGCAGCTCACCATGGTAGCTTTCCCAATGGCTAAGACACCCAGAGCATAAAAAGCCGGCCCACAGCACCCTTTGTCTAAGTGGTCATGGCATGAACGTGGTGGCCCCAGGGGCCACAGCCTCACCCAGGACTGGGGCGTGAGTGTCATCAGCATGCACACACCAGGTGTTTACGGGTCACCTCCTGGCAGCGCACAGGCCCTCTGAAACTAAAAGGCAGCCTCTGCTCATCCGTGCAGGCTCTGGACTTCAACACACCATACGGGCCCCCAGCAGCTTCCCCTCCAGAAAGCCTTGGGTCTCGCTGGTATCCCTGAGGCAATCTCATTTTTATCCTTGGACTGTCTCTTCCTAAGTCAACTCAGTAGCTATCAGTCTTGAGAATACTAAAAGTTATTGGTACGTGCAGGTAGGTATGGCAAATCCCAACTCACTCGTGGCTGAGTTTGTCAAACAATTGCTGAGTGTAAATCTGTATGTTGAAACCTCAATTTATATGCCTTAGGCCAGATTTTAGCAAAATATCAAACATGAGTCTAAATGAAAAAAACAAAACAAACAATGAAAGCACTGGCTCTGTCTGGAGGGTGCACCTCACGCCCAGATGTGGCTTCTGTGCCGGTGCAGCATGTGGGCAGGAGCGGACGGGTGTCGGGATGCTGGCACCTTCTCCTCCTCTGCTCCCTCCCTTCAGTCTTCTCATCAGTCTATTTTTAAAACAACTAAGAATTTCTGGCCATCACCAATCCCAGCACCAAAGGTGAAAAGAGGTCTGGCTCTGTCTGTGTTTTAACTTTCAGACCCACTATGGGTCAACATCTTCTGGCCACTCTCAGGGCTCCGCTCCTGTCCTCAGTCACTCTCACTGTCCTCATCCTCTGAAGTTGTGCTGTCATTTTCAACCATGTCTGCCACTTTGTAGGATAGGTTTGTAGAATTAACAACTAAAACAGTTGGATATTATAAAAAAAATGTTAAGCATATGCTAATTAGCAATCTCCCCCTCCTCCTACTTTGATCAGTGCAGAAAAAAATCCCTTGGGTTCAGCTTTATCTTGCCAACTTATATTTTCATTATTGTAGGCAAGAAATGAGCAGGTAGAATGTGTCTGGTTGTAAACAATTCTCCTATGAAGAATATCTATAGAAGTGTTATGACGAGGCATGTTTACAACCTAGTACTCCTGAGTACTCAAACCAGAAAGAAGAGTTAGCACCAAAACCAACCCCAGCAGAAAGGGCTTGACATTAACAGCCCATTCCTGCCTGAGTCAGCAGAGGAGTGATTATGTCCCACCGCCCCCAGGACCTCCTGCCCCTGGGGAGCAGCTCCCAGTCTCACCCTTGGAGAAGTGGTTCTCTTCTTCACACTCCTCCCAGTGATCAAAATCAAAGGTCACATTAGGGTTCTGTTCAACACAAAAGTTTACACTAACTGGGTGGACACGGCCAGCGGGTGCCCCGCTGCGCCGCACCCCCCCAGCTCACCTTCTGTCTGAGCAGGCGGCCCCAGGCCTCTCCTCGCTCCTTCACCAGAGTGATCACAGGCTCCTCGTTTCTCATCACACACCTGCACTCGTCCTTTACTATGTGACCCTGCAGCTCCATGTCGGCCAGGTAGAACTTCTCTCCCACCCAGGCACTAGGATGGACAAAGAGAAATAAAGTCAGCGTTTTAATCTATTTATTTAAAACAGAAATTATTTCTATTTTGCTTTATAAGATATGCATAAACCTACCTGAACACGACTCTATCTGTAAAATATTTACATTTGTAATCTTTCACATTCCGTAGTCTTATCTTTAAGACGATGGCATCATCTTTTTGGAACCACTTTATCTGTGGGTGGAAACTAGAAGGAAGAAACAGGCTCGCACAACTGTCAGCGCTCACTGGCTGGGGGAGGGCATAGACTGGGCGGCGGGAGGACGTACCTCTTCAGATGCGGCTGTGTGGTTTGGTTGATGGAAGTATCTCCAGTGTTTTCAGATGAAGTTTCTGTACAAACCAAAGTCAAAATTTCCTACATGTAACTCCATAATGTATAGACATATTTTTGCATATTTATGAAACTTTTATTTTATATATATATATATATATATTTTTTTTTTTTTTGTAGAGACAGAGTCTCACTCTATCATCCTAGGTAGAGTGCCATGGTGTCACACAGCTCACAGCAACCTCCAACTCCTGGGCCCAGGCGATTCTCTTGCCTCAGTCTCCCAAGTAGCTAGGACTACAGGTGCCCACCACAATGCCCAGCTTTTTTTTTGTTGCAATTTAGCCAGGGCTGGGTTTGAACCTGCCACCCTTGGTATATGGGACCAGTGCCCTACTCACTGAGCCATAGGCACTGCCCTATTTTATTATTTTTGAAGAGACAGGGTCTCACTTTGCTGTCTTGGCAGAAGTACAATAGTGTGATCACAGCTCACTGTAACCTGGAACTCCTGAGCTCAAGCCATCCTCCTGTCTCAGCCTCCCAAGTAGCTGGGACTATAAGCCTGAACCCCCATGCCCAGCTAATTTTGAAATTTTTTGTGGAGAGAGGGTCTTGCCATGTTGCCTAGGCTGGTCTCGAACTTCTGGCCTCAAGCCATCCTTCCACCTTGGCCTCCCAAAGTGCTGGGATTACAGGGATGAGCCAACACCTGTGGTCCTTATGCAACTTAGATGAGGAATCACTTACACACAATGTTTCATAGGAACCCAAGTTGCAAAGAATTATTTTAAAAAAGTAAAATGCACATCACTTAATAAAACATAATAGTTTAAAATAAAAAAGCCTTTGACAAGTATTAAAATTAAACGATTAGGAAAGTAAAGTTAGTCTTTTGAAGACGAACCACATTACAATTGCTGGCCACAGGATATAAGAGCTAAGGCTTCCTTGGTGCCCTCTGAACCCGCCAGGACCCCACTGAAGAGGACTTCCAGGATGGCAGCCAGTAACTGTTAACAGGAACCAATGCTGGACACGCATTTTCTTTTTTTTGAGACAGAGCCTCAAGCTGTCCCCCTGGGTAGAGTACTATGACATCATAGCTCACAGCAACCTCCAACTCCTGGGCTCAAGCCAGTTTCCTGCCTCTGTCTCCCAAGTAGCTGGGACCACAGGTGCCCACCACAACACCTGGCTATTTTTTGGTTGCAGCCGTCATTGTTGCTTGGCGGGTCTGGGCTGGATTCCAACCCGCCACCTTAGGTGTATGTGGCTGGCGCCTTAGCCACTTGAGCCACAGGCATTGAGCCATGGACACGGCATTTTCTAAAACAATGTAATTTAAACTTCTCAACCTAAAACACGTAAAGATTCTATTCAAAAACTTGAACAAGAATGTTCATACCAGTTTGCATCACAATAGCCCCCAAATAGAAAACCAACAGGCACAAAGAAGAATTGTGGCATATTAGGATCCCAGAATACAGCCTGATAAAGAACTACACTGAATGAAGCCACAGAGTGGATCCCATGTACTTCCCAATTCAGCAAAACTAAGTGACAGGAATTAGAACAGTGGCCACTGGGGAGACGCCCACCAGCTTCATTTGGTGTGTTCAGCGGGCACAGACACACAGACACTCTGGTCAGCTGTTCACTTGAGGTCTGAGCACGTTACTGGATACATCACACCTCAAATAAAAAGAAGGAAAATGGGTGCAGAAAACCAACATTGGAACTTGAACTGTCAAAAATAGCAACAGTTGGGTATTATTAGAGTCACCTTCTCTATATTTCATCTACAAGTGGAAAGTCTCTAAACATTAAAAAACACCCAAACATTAAAGTACCCACCGGGTTTTTGGTTTTCTGAGTTTGTCTCAAGGTCAGCCGCCCTTCTTTCTGCACCCTGGTTCTCCTGCTGTGTGCCCTGCAGACACGCGGCATTTTCTGCTGACGGAGATGTCCTGCACAGGAGAGGCAGAGGTTAACGCTGGGACTTCAGGAGGCTCTCAGGCAACATGTGGCTCTCCACAGCAAGTGATTTTCCACTGGTGTGGTATGGCACACTGGGGTACCATTAGAGACTGACGAGTGCTGTGAACATTTTTAAAGATCATTAATTATTTTCAAGAGAATTCAAAACGTGCTAAGTATCTTCCTTTTTTTTCCACTTTCTTTTTTTTTTTGACAAAGTCTTACTCTATGCCCTAGGTAGAGTGCCATGGCATCATAACTTCCAGCAACCTCAAACTTCTGGGCTCAAGCGATCCTCCTGCCTCAGCCTTCCGAGTAGCTGGGACTATAGGCACGTGCTACATGCCTGTCTTTTTTTTTTTTTTAAACTAGCCTAGTTAGCTTTTTTTCTAGTTTTAGTATAGATGGGGGTCTCACTCTTGCTCAGGCTGGTCTCAAAATCCTGAGCTCATGGGATCTACCTGCTTTGGCCTTCCAAGAGGGATTACAGACGTGAGCTACCGTGCCCAGCCCTTTTTTTTTTTTTTTGCTCAACATAATCTAAGTGGCCGTGGAAGTTTAACTACAGGTTCAAGTGTGCTGTGAGAGAAAAAGAGGTGAGGACGGCGCTGTGCAGGAATGCCCAGCAGCAGGGACGGAGGGCAGTCATTGCTGCCCAGTGCCTGCTGCCTGGAGTCAGACCCGGGAGGGCTGGTCAGCTCTGCTGGCTGCTGCAGCCCTCAGGGCAAGCACACAGTGGAGATCAGCACCTGTCACCAAAGGCAGCAACTCATTTACCAAAATCATTCCCCCCACCCCCCAATCTGCCACGCTATGAGAAGTACACTGCTATCAGCTGCAAGGACAGACAGTGGACAGCCGGCCTCGCCATCTCCCCTGCCCAGACCCTCTGGCCATCCTCCTGGGACCATCCTGTTACATGTTTCTATCTGTTTAAAGACACAGGGCCGAGTGGGCTCAGTGCTGCCCTTTGCTTTCTTCTGTGTCAGTGCACAGAGGGCTGCCTCACTCTTAAAAAATTTTTAAACTGTTATTCCTTCAGTTTTTTCCATCAAGCAAACATTTGTGTGGTACAATATTTTCCAGAGAGTGATGAGGCTGGGCAGCGAACACTCAGGCCCCCGCCCCCTCGGGCAGTGTGATTTGTCTTTTGTGGCTCCTTGGAGCTCACTCACACCTGAGTGGGCAGGTCTGAACTAACACAGGCAGGCACACCTGTGACGAGCGGTGAGCCTGTGTCTCTTAAGGGCCACCGTCCCCAACCTTTTTGGCACCAGGGACCAGTGTAATGGAAGACAATTTTTCCAAGGACTGGGAGGTGTTGGGGATAGTTTGGGACAACTCAAGCACATCACGTTTACTGCACTCTTTATTTCTATTATGGCTACACTGTGATATACAGGGAAATGATACAACTCAGTGGGAGTCCTACACTTGCTTTCCTGCAGCTAGATGGTCCCAGAGTCAGCACCACGGCTGGCATTCGATTCCTGTAAGGAGCACCCAACCCAGATGCCTGCAGCGCAGTGTACAGGAAGGTTCCCCTCCTGGAGAATGTAATGCCGCCCCGACCCGACCTGACGGGGCGCAGCTCAGGTGGTGATGGGCAATAGCTGTAAACGCAGATGAAGCTTCACTCCCTAGCTGGCCCCTCCTTTCCTACAGTGTGGTTGGGTTCCTGACAGGCTGTGGACGGGCACCAGTGCATGGCCCAGGGGTTGGGGACCACAGTCCAAGGGCACTTCTGAAGGCCACCTATGAAGCCTGTGGCACAGCATGCCCCAGTGACGGGGACCATACAGCAGGCCCAGCCGCTACTCAGAGACAACTCCAGAACAGGTAAACTCTTGGAGACAAGAGCAGAAAGGAGACAAGGAACAGAGGTTGCAGGGGCTGCAGAGAGCAGCAGGAGGGAAGTATTGTTTATGGGAACAGAGTTTCTGTCTAGGATGATGAAAAAGTCCTTGCTGGAGATGGACAGTGCTGATGGTCATACAGCAGTATGGATGGTACTTACTAAATGCCAGGAATTATGTGCTCAAAAATAGTTAAAATGGCAGATTCTATGTTAAGTGTATTTTATCGCAATAAACAAAAACACATGTAATTCAAGAAATCACTGTTGGCCAGGCTAGGTGACTCACACGTATAATCCTAGCACTCAGGGAGTTTAAGGAGGGTGTATTGCTTGAAGTCAGGAGTTCGAGACCAGCATTAGCAAGAGCGAGAACTCTAAAAATAGCTGGGTGTTGTGGCAGGTGCCTGTAGTCCCAGCTACTCAGGAGGCTGAGGCAGGAGGATCTCTTAAGGCCAAGAATTTGAGGTTGCTGATAGCTATGACATCATGACACCCTACCTACAGCAACAGAGTGAAACTCTGTCTAAAACAAACAAACAAAAAGAAAATGGCTCGGCGCTCAAGTATCTAAGGCACCAGCCACATATACCTGAGCTGGCGGGTTTAAATCCAGCCCAGGCTGCCAAACAACGATGGCTGCAACCAAAAAATAGCCCGGCGTTGTGGAGGGCGCCTGTAGTCCCAGCTACTTGGGAGGCAGAGGCAGGAGACTCGCTTGAGCCCAGGAGTTGGAGGTTGCTATGAGCTGTGATGCCACAGCACTTTACCCAGGACTACAGCTTGAGGCTCTGTCTCAAAAACAAAAAGAAAGAAAGAGAAGAAATCACTGTTCAGTTTTTTAGTCAAGCTGTGAAGCCCCGCTGCGCCCCACCTTGGCAGCCTTGCATGCTGTTCCCTTCCGCTGTCTGCCCTTCCTGGTCTGTTCACTGTAGCCTGACTCAGGTTCCCCCCAGGACGTCACAGTGAGTCTGGGCACCTTCTCACACACTAATGGGACATTCTGAAGCTGTGGTTCCTAGCGTTTGCTTACCTTTTTCCCCCTTTTTTGTATTTTTAATTGATAAATAGGGTCCATCCTTGGGGGATACACGTGATAATTTCACACATATCATCAACTCAGGGTGTAGGGATAGTCATCACCTTAAATACATGTATACATATACATTTATAGTGTTTGTATTTTATATATATATATATATATTTTTTTTTTTTTTTTTTTGTAAAACAGCTTTATCCTCTGTCAGAACACAAACCAACAGACTCTGCAGTTGGCAGTGGAGGCAACGTCAGCAGAACCTGTGGCTCACTGAGGAGGAGGGTGAGTTACACAGCCTCACCCCATTTCTGGTGCCACTGAAATAAAGCCATAACCTTTACAAGTAGCTCATTTTATTAAAAATATCTCCAGGGCCCACCTGGCTCTGCTCCTGCACAAATAGGGTTAATCTCTGTGATACAAAGTTGATAGGTAGAGGCAGAAATGTGGGCAGCTAGAGAACAGGAAGGGAGACAAGCCAATGTGTAACTGAGTCTCTCCACGACATCGAGAAGAGCAGGGCGGGGGCCTGTCAGAGGCTGAGAAGTGTACCTGAGGTGGTCTCCTTCCTGTCCTCAATCCTGATGCTCTGGAGCCATCTGTCCCTTCAGACACCCCCTGAGAGGTCCCACTATCAGAGTCTATTCTTTCCTCAGTCCCCACCTTTTCAGCTCTATTGCTTAGGCCTCTGAAGCCAGCCCCTTTAAATCACAGCCCTCCCCTTAAATATAAAGCATGAGGAGAGCTGAAGGGCCCTTCCTGGCAGGAGGATGTTCCAGGGGTCAGCCAGTTTCAGGGTCTCCCTTCAGTCCCAGACCAGGCAGTAAATGTGATGTTGGGCCTCACGTCCACGGGTGGGGACCTTGAAGACACAGGTGGTACACAGCAGCAGTTCCTGGGTGTCTCTGTCACCACCTGGAGGATGGTGACATTCTCAAGGATGCTGTTCATTATGCATTACTTGGCCAGCTGCCACAACTTGTGCAAGAAATTCACCAGGGACTCCCAGATGGGTGAGTATCCTGTGGGTCCTCCAGCTGCACCCAGCTCCATCTCCACCACCTGCTTGCCAAAGGAGCAGACCTTGGAGGAGTATGAGGGTCATGTGCCGCTGGCTGCTCACTCCATAGAAGCCATCACTGTTACTGCTGCTGCCACTGCTAGCCCTGGCCTTCTCACTACTTGGGCCTCAGTTCAGGACTGCCCAGAACCTGAGCAGGAAAAACACGTGGGGGAAGCTGTGATCATACGGTTCTTGCCGATTTGCTGAACATCCACACTCTTGAGTGGGGGCACTCCAGGGCTGGGGCAATGCTGGGTGATATGTACAAACAGGGGCCTCTGGTATGAGTCAGCTGCATTTGGCAGTTCCACACATGCCAAGAACTCTACTAGCTGCAACCAGGCAGTGCCTAGGGCTCCAGCCTGCGAGGCTGGGGGCAGGGGTGAGAGGGGTTAAGGGGACCCATACCCTGGTCAATAGATGGGGAGTCCATGACAAGGAGAATGGTGTGTTTGAAAATGGCTTCACATCTGAAACATTCTAGAGGGGTCAGAGCCCCTGAGCCAAACTGGAGAAGCTCAGAGGCCTAAGGACCAGCAGGACCCAGTTTGGTGAGCTGGGCCGAGGACATGGTAGCCATAGACTAGATTTCCCTGGATTTCCCTCAAGTTAAAATCTGAATGAGACTAGAGACCTGGTTGTGAGTTCAGATCTTCCCCATTCTCAGCTTGATTTTATTCTTGCTCACTGCTCCCGGCAGTGGCACCTGTGAAGGAGTTCTGTGCCACGTCTATACTGCTACTGTGGGCAGCGCAGAGTACAGCAAGTTCCCGTGGATGTCAGTGAGACCGGGATCAGTGCCACATCCTGGAGGGTCGTGGTGCACCGCTCTTCCTCGTATCACTCAGCCTTCATCAGAGGTGTGAAGGCATCTTCACCATCTCGGATGTTCAGGTCACAGTTCTTGTCATCCAAGAAAGAGACACCCTGTAATAGCCTTTGGCACAGGCCAAATGCCGGGCACTCCCTCCTCTTCTTGTCTCTTGAATTGAACTCATTTCTCTTCAAGGAGATGAGCTCCTGCAGCTGGTCAACATCACCCTCATTGGTAGCTCTGTGGGGCCCCCTGAGGTCCCCATCTTGGACATCACACCCCGTAGGTGAGAAGACTTGGGTTCTTAACCTGGTCCAAGTGCTTGGGGACCAAAGGGGGCCAAGGTTGTCCTGTAGCTAACAGCTTCTTTTAAATAGAGCTCCTGGCTCCGTGGACATCCCATTCCCATCCCCTCGGCTTTTCTCTGCCTGCACAGCCCGAGGCTGGCTGCCAACCGGTCTGGTCCATTTGCCTACTTTCCTGGTATATGCCTATAGCCTTCCTCCTAGTTGGAAACACTCACCAACACACACCCTTGGGAAGACCCATGTGCTCTGCCTGTGCCCTGCCCCCAAGGCAGCCAGTGTACATCCTCAGAGTCTCCTATCCTCTGTGCAGTGTGCACTGGCGTCACCACTTTGGAAAAACTGCTGGGTGGCAGCTTTGGTTACGATTCAGCAATCACATCCCATCAGAAATGTATTTGTGAATGCCCTCAAAGACGCGCGTGAGCATGTCTGAAGCACCACTACTGAAGCACCCCAGACAGAAATCTCCCTGCAACGGCAGAGTGGGGAGACAATCTATGATATATTTACGCAAAAGGACGGCATGCAGAGCTGAGAACTCAGACCCACAGCGACATGCACGGTGTGGTAAACTCCACAAGTGAAGCTGAGTTAGAGCAGCTCGAGGCCTGATACACTACAAGGGTCTATTCAAACAAAGCACGAAGTGGGGAGACCCAGCACGAAGTGAGGAGACCCAGCTGTGCATCCCCAGTTAGGAGAGCGGATCCTCTGTGGGATGAGGGGCCTGAAGCTGGCTGTTTCTTAACATGGGACTGGTTACATAGCAAGCTTAGAAAACCCACCGGATCCTGTGCTTCTGATGTGCTCGTTTCTGAGAGTGTCCTATTCATTAATAAAAAGCTAACAAAAATCCTTTGCCTAAGAGATACAGGGACAGTAACATATTCGAGATTTCTTTTATCATATTCCACCAAAAACAAGCGTGGGCTGAGATGTGAATAAAATAAGGTTCCCCAAAATCTTGGGAATTATTAACGCTAAGCAATAGGCACATGGAGACTCATTAAGCTTTTCTACTTTCAGAAAAGATGCCCTTAAACGCTTGTGAGTTGTATTTCCACAGAAGAGTTCTTCTAAAAGGGAAAGAGAAACCCACTTACGGAGTCTGGCTTGGACTTTCTTCAGAAGCTGGCATTTTAGCGCCTTCATAGAGCTTTTTCAGTTGTTCTGTATGTTCTGAATTATCAATGCCCATCCCCATTGACAAGATTTCAGCTCGAACATTATAATCAATGACAGAAGTTTTCAAATTTGAAAGGTTTGTAATATGCACCTGGAATCAAGAAAAAAACAGCATTTTTAGGAATCACTCTTTGATCCTTTCCGAGTCACAGACACTCTTGCACGGGCTCCCCATCTCCCACGCAGCGTCTGAGGCTCCGACGCCACCCTCCGTGGGCAAGGTCTCCTGCAGCGGCACCTGGGTTGTTCACAGCTCAGCCCCACAGCACAGAAGCACAACCAGGTGGGGGGTGGGGGGCGAGTTGAGACCAACCTGCCTACAGTGCTGTGACCAGACGCAGAATTCTTGCATCTTTCTGATTCTCACTCAACTACTTTCATCTCTATTAACAAGGAGCCCTCAGGCTCAGGGTCCTTGTGGGCCTGGAAATGGCCAATGCCAAGGCCCCATGTTCTGTGCTCGGGACCATTTTCTCCACATTGTCTTTTCTGCACCTTAAACACTCTTATCCTTTTCAATTTATACAAAACTAAGTAAAACAAGAAACTCTGTAACAGTCTGATTCCTGTTGATGGGGGTGTAATACAAGACTGAGCACCCATGTTGGGGGAGGATGGGCCAGGCTGGCATGAGCTGGCACATTCCTACGGGGGCCCTCGAGTCCCCAACTGGAAACATGCAGATAGCCTTTCTCCCCTCCATCTGGGACAGAGCAGGTGTGGGTGGAGAAGGAAAGTGTGGGGCACCATAATATACATAACAAATGTTAATAAATGTTTCCCCATTGTGTCAGGGCACCATAATATACTGTGCAGCTGTGGAAACCTATTTGCTGTGGGGGTTCCTTTTTGCTTCATTCTCCTACCTATCAAGTCCTAACTTAATAAGCTTTCCATTTTTTTCTCTAACGAAGGACAACTGCGATACCATTACAACATCAACTAAGACCCCAGATCTCTTCCTTTACCTGCCTTGGTCTATTTTTTCTTTCTTTCTTTCTTTTTGAGGCAGTGTCTCACTTTGTGGCTCTGGGTAGAGTGCCATGGCATCATAGCTCACAGCAATCTCAAACTCTTGGGCTCAAGTGATTCTCTTGCCTTAGCCTTTGGAGTAGATAGGACTACAGGCACCTGCCACCATGCCTGGCTATTTTTTAGTATGGGGTCTCATACTTTATACTTTATTTTTTCTCTTTTAAAAGTAATATTCTCCTTTTTTTAAAAGTCTCATTATATGCATACTTCTTAAAGTTTTGCTAACCTCATAAAAACTATTAGAAGAATCATTTTTATAAACTGAATTCAAGTCTTACAAATTATAATAATTAAAATTTAAGTTTAATACAGCAGCACTGTGAATTGAACAGTGGTGCTCCTGGAGCATAAGCAGTGGGGGTGGTGGCAGCACCAGTAGGGATGAATGCTGGTCTGGTCCCCAGTCCTCCCTGACCCCATCAGCTCGGCGGGCAGGCGGCTTTGTCTGCTTTGCTCATTGATGGAGCCCAAGGCCAAAACTGTGGGCCTAATGGCAGCTATCCTGGAAACCTCACCATCTCTGACTGCATCTCAGGTCTTTAGGGTCATTTACAAAACTAGAACAGATGGAGCTGTTGCAGCAGTCAATGACGGGGACCTCTCAAATGTAGACTGTGAAGGGGTTTCATGGTTCACAATCAACACTTGAAATAGAAATACAATGTCAGAGGTAGTGAAGGCTCTCAGGGATTCTCATCCTGCTGTCTGAGAGTGGGTGCATTAAACACCTAAGTGCATGTGTGTGTGTGTGTGTTACAATGTGAAATAGTCCCCAAAACAAAAGTTAACCCACAACCAAATTCATGACAAAAATAACATGACAAACACCTCACCTTCACAGAGAGCCCCAAGTCTCTGTTTCTGTGAAGCAGTTTCCAGCAACAGGCTAGTAGAACTTGGATAATTTTAGAGGACTATTCCAAAAGACATTTCTTTTTAAGAAAACTGCATACTTACCATTGGATCGATCCAAACTGTATTTCCCAAAGCCAGTATCACCTTTGCATCATGCAGCTTTCCAACAATTTTATGATGAATATACCTAGTAACCTGGAAGAAAGTGCTTAAGATTTTTTATCTGAGGCTTTAATAAAATACCTTATTCAGCATACCCACCACAACGCCTGGCTATTTTTTAACTGTAGTTGTTTGGCAGGCCTGGGCTGGATTTGAACCTGCCAGCTCCAGTGTATTGCAAAATATTCCATGCATTTCACTTGAGCCTCATGGCAATCCTGTGAGGTTACAAAGGGAATCGCCTCCCTTTCACCAACAAGGCTGACACCAGAGTTTAACAAGGACAGATGTGCAGAGGGCAGAAGTTGTCCCAGGTCCCTCCTAGTGAGTCACGAGGACGGGGGAGGGTCTGTGCCTTTGGACTCTGCCTACTGCCTGTTTCCTGCTATGGACACGTGTGCCCCATGTCCTCATGCCAACTACATTCTAAAAGCATGCATGTTTATTAATTAGAAAACTCAATGAGAGTGAAGTTGTTCCTGCTGCTCCAGAGGATGTCAAGTGACAGAGGCGCTCTGCGTCAGGGACACTGGAGTGGAGGCTCTGGTCTGTGTGTCCTCGCTCTTGGCTGTCTTCCTCCCAAGCAGGGCCACAGACGCCTGTCTGAGCAATCTTTCCCATATGTTAACACCAAAAAGTAGAACAGAAGGGAGTTGCCCATCAACATTAGGTGGTTTCCACCCTTCTTGAACTTTGTAAATGAATGTGGAATAATGCACGTAAGAGAAATTTCCTCCTCCTTAAAAAAGGCAGCTCAAGAAATACCGTGGTCAGTTGGGTACTGTGGCCTGTGCCTGAATCCTAGCACTCTGGAAGGTGGATCCCTTTAGCTTAAGAGTTCAAGACGTGAGCAAGAGTAAGACCCTGTCTCTACTAAAAATAGAAAAAAAAATGATACAAGAGATTGAGGTTGCTGTGAGCTACAATGCCACAGCAGTCTACTTAGGGGAACAGAGTGAGACTCTGTCAAAAAAAAAGAGGAAGGAGGGAAAAGAAATACTCAGTGATCTTTTAAACCAAATGCTTCCTGAGGACAAGGACCATAACTTTCTTGCTGATGGCTAGAAAGAACCTAACAAGGCCCTGGCACATAGTGAGTACTCAGAAAATACTTATTACAAAAAAAGAAAATGATTGTTATTCAATAAATGTTAATTTTTTTTTTTTTTGAGACAAGAGTTTCACTTGTCACTAGAGTGCTGTGGTGTCACAGCTCACAGCAACCTCCAACTCGGGCTTAAGTGATTCTCTTGCCTCAGCTTCCTGAGTAGTTGGCTTTTTTTTTTAATCATAGTTATCATTGTCGTTTAGCTGGCCCAGGCCGTGCTCAAACTTGCTAGCCTGGGTGTATGCAGCCGACATCCTACCCACTGAGCTACGGGCGCTGCCTGAGAAAAACTATTTTTACCAAACTAACAACAGTAAGGTTGTGTGCATTCATACTGTGTCATAAAAACATTCACTTATTTCCTGGATAATGTTTACCCTTGCCTTTTAAATTTTATTTTTATAAATAAAAATATGGCCAGAGCTGGCCATATGTACCGAGACTGGAGAGTTTGAGCCTTGCCCAGGCTAGCTAACCAACAATGACAACTGCAACAAAAAAATAGCTGGGCATTGTAGCAGGTGCCTGTAGTCCGGGCTACTTGGGAGGCTGAGGCAAGAGAATCACTTAAACCCAAGAGTTTAAGGTTGCTGTGAGCTGTGATGCCATCGTACTCTACTCAGGGCAACATGAGATTCTGTCTCAAAAAACAAAAAAAATTCTGTTTGAATCTAGTTTGCGTAACTGTTTGTAGCCCAAATTGTTCTTTACTTTGTGAGTGCTATGGTTTATCTCAATCCTACTTACCAGACAGGTTTATAATCTTCCCCTGGAGATCATGACTGGTGCTCCCAGGAGTGGGATGTGCATCAGGTCTCCACCTGGCCGTTTCCATCCCACGTGAACAGCCATACAAGCCCACAGGGGACCACTCTCCTGGGCCCCAGGCTGGAGCACAGGTAGTTTTTTTTTTTTTTTTTTGAGACAGAATCTCACTTTGTGGCCCGCGGTAGAGTGCTGTGGAGTCACAGCTCACAGCAACCTCAAATTCTTGGGCTCAAGTGCTTCTATTGCCTCAGCCTCCCAAGTAGCTGGGAATACAGGTGCCCACCACAATGCCCAGCTATTTTTCGGTTGCAGTTGTTGTTGGCAGGCCGGGGCTGGATTTGAACCTGCCAGCTCCAGTGTATGTGGCTGGTGCCCTTGCCACTGAGCTGCAGGTGCCGAGCCTTCTTTGCTTTTAGTTGCCTTATCCATCTACTTGGTGAGACCCTAGTTATCTCAAAGCCCACAGGAAATGTCCCTTCTTTTGAAAGCTATTCTGTCCACCATCTTTCCTGCTCTGTGGAATCACCTGGCCTCTCCAGACAGCATTCATCACCTCTCCTCCCTCTGACTGCAGGACTTGTTTTTGTAGGTGCTTACATTGTGTCTTCTGCTTAAGCGGACAGATAATCCCTATTTTATACCAATTCTGTCACTGTAGCACTAAGGGTAACGATGGCAACATTTCAAGGATCCCCAGCACCACCCTAAGGGCTCGCAGCTAGGGGTACACCCCAAACCCCAGCACTTGAGCTCTCAGTTGGGCTCTCCACTGGTGGCAGTGGACACACCCCTGCACCAGCAAGAACCCAAGGAGACAGGACTGTACCGCCTCAGAGCAGGAAGCACTTTGCCCAGATGTGATCCTCTAAATTCAGAGAAGCCTTGATAATGTGTGTACTCTGGGTTAAATATATTCTGAAAGTCAACAAAATGTAAAAAGCCAAAATAAGTCACCTTTGGGTTCCACTCCATTTCACTGTCAGCAGGCTTCACCCTGCAGACGATGAACTCCACAGCCTGGGGGGGCAGGGCACAGAAACTCTCCGGGAGGGGCAGCAGCTGGTCCCTTGAGATGAGCCCAGTCCTGCCTTCGTCTATGAACTTCACGAGGACATTATCCAGGGCCCACACATCTTCCTTCTGGCTCACCTCTAGCACCTGCACCCTGGGGAACAAGGGTAGCATTGCTTTAACACAGGGATTCCAAAAAGGGGAAGACCTTTGCTTCAGCTTACCATTAAGTGGAAAACACACAAAAAACTAAACCGGTTTTAACTGATACTAGGAATAAAAAACCAGGCCTCCAGAATCACTTTATGATAGATGAAAGTGTTTATGTAAGTATAAGAAGCACTTCTGAACGTTAAGTACACAATATAACTTTGAGATTTATATGTATATATACTAAATCTCTTTATCTGACAACAAATGTTTTTGAGACAAAGCCTCACTCTGTTGCCCTGGGTAGAATGCTGTGGTGTCACAGTTAACATGAATCTCAAACTCTTGGACTCAAGAGATCCTCTTGCCTCAGCTCTCAAGTAGCTGGGACTATAGGTGCCTGCCACAACACTTGGCTAGTTTTCTATTTTTAGTAGACACAGGGTCTTGCTCTTGCTCAGGCTGGTCTTAAATTCCTGAGCTCAAGCGATCTGCCCATCTTGGCCTCCCAGGGTGCTGTAATTACACACGAGCCACCATGCAGGCCCATAATAAAAATTAGCATAGCAAATTAAAGTTTCAAAGTTTCTGAATCAGGGTATCACCAAGGATCACCAAGGGGAGTCGCAGGAAGTGGTGCAAACAAGAGCCTGAGCTGGACTGAGTTCCAACGCTGGCAATGCCACCCATAGAGCTGGCCTTAGACAACTTATATGGCATCAGGGAGGCTCAGTTTGTTGATCTGTAAAATGGGAAGGATGCCTACTCCATGGGCACTTGGTAAGAATTAAATGAGTTAAGGATGCAGATGTATGTCACACACAATGGCACTCAGTAAATGTCTGCAGTCACCGTCACTGTGCGCTGTACTCAGGAGCCAAGTGGAGCTTCCCATGCAGAGCTGGGCCAGGCGTCTGGAGGATACCACCTCCGGGGAGGCTGCTGGGCTCACATAGACACAGCCAGTCAAATGGACAGAGTGGTGGAACAGGAATTCAACACCATCTAAAGTTACCTCACGCTAAACAACTTTAGAGATGAAAAGACATTTTACCTGTGAAAAAGTGTTTTTTCTGCTAATCCATACAATCCAAATTTCTCCACCTTTTCAACAGTTGTTTCACTGGCATTCTTAAAATACTCATTCATTTCAGCATTAAGTGTTGCATAAAGATCCACATGTTTATCAATTATACGACCAAAGTAATTTGTTGCATTCAAAATATAAAAAGGTATTATCTGAAACACATATAGTAAACATATTCAGAAAACAATGTAAACTGAAGACTCGCCCCCGCATCTGCAGAAATCAGCGCCTGCCATGAGGTTCCAAAGCGTGCACAGAGTTTAGAAGCAGAAAGCTGGCTGGGAACCTAAACAAAGCAAAACAAATACCTTCCTGTGTTGGCAAATAATTATAGTTTCACTTTAAATCTAATGGACTTTTTAATGCAAATTTCATTATTTAAAAACTTCAATATTAGTTTGAGTGTTCTTTCTTTACTTTTATAAAAATCTTTGCTCTCGGGTGGCGCCTATGTCTCAGTGGGTAGGGTGCTGGCCCCATATACTGAGGGTGGCAGGTTCAAACCTGGCCCCTCCAAACAAAAAATAGCTGGGCGTTGTGGTGGGCGCCTGTAATCTCAGCTACTCAGGAGGCTGAGGCAAGAGAATTACCGAAGCTTAGTAGTTAGAGGTTGCTGTGAGCTGTGTGATGCCATGGCTTTCTACCGGGGGCGATAAAGTAAGACTCTGTCTCTACATCCCCCCTCCCCCCACCAAAAAATCTTTTCTCTCTCTTTAACTAAGGAAGTGGGGCCAGGCACATGGTGGCTTATGCCTGTGATCCCAGCACTCTGAGTGGCCAAGGCCTGTAGACTGCTTGAGCTCACGAGTTTGAGACCAGCCTGACCAAGAGCCCTGTCTCTAAAACAGCTGGTGTTGTGGTGGGTGCCTATAGTCTCAGCTACTCAGGAGGTTAAGGCAAGGGGATCACTTGAGCCCACCAGGAGTTTGAAGTTGCTGTGAGCTATGATGCCATGGCACTCTACCCAGGGTGACAAAGTGAGACTGTCTCAAAAAAAAAGACAAAGCAACAGCAGAGTATCAAGGTAAAATCCAACATTAGTAATAATTAAATAACAAAATAAACTGTAAGATAGATAATAATATATAAATGAAACTATAATACAATAAGAGAAAAGAGCAGATAATAGTCCCTAGGGATGAGGAAAGTCATTACAAAGACCTAGTCACCAAACAGATCAAAACTGTTTTGACATTCAGTTTCAAAACAAGCTGACTTTTAGTTTAACTAAGAAAATGACACATTTATAAAAGAATAACATAAATAAGAATTAGAAAAACTTAAGAAACAAAGGGACAGAACTCAGAAAAGAATTAGAAATTAAAGAAAAAGTTATTTCAGTAACGAAAATGGTAGTGGGTTGAGTGGTAATTCTCGAAGAAGACAAGTGCCCCCTTGTAATCCCCGATGTCACTGTGGCGTCTCCAGTGAGGTGGGGTAAGTGAGGGGACAGAGGTGGGAGGAAGCACAGTGAAGACAGGCAGGAGTCAGCAGGGGTGTCCACCTGCAGCCACTGGGCCACATGCTAACTGTGAAGATTATTTTTGCTTATCTGTGGTGTCGGGGATCATGGAAAGCATGCATGGACCTTTTTCTTTTTTGCTAATCAGCTGTCATTAGTGTTTGTGTATTTGGTGTGTGGCCCAAGATAATGCTTATTTTTCCAAAGTGCAGCAGGAAAAGAAAAGGCTGGACCCCAGATTAGAGTGATGCGGCTGCAAGCTGAGGCACACCACAGATACCTGGAGCCACAGAGGCTGGAAGAGGCCGGGCCAGACTACAGGCGCAGGGCGCACAGGTGAGACACTGATTTCTGGCTTCTGGCCTCCAAAACCAGGAGAGAAGAGATTTGCATTGTTTCAAGTCAACAACTGGGATGTTACAACAGCCCCAGGCAACCAGCACCACACAAAATGTCTTTAGGGAAAGAGGTATCAAGGAGAAAAATTTAATACTGAAAAATAAATGAAGAAATTAATGAAAAAGATTTGAGGGAGAATGACCCTTAACTTGGCAATTCTACTGGCATCTTAGAATTCTCCTAAAGCAGCAGATCTCAATCAATAGGATCGCAGAATTGGGAAGGTGGAGAACCACTGTCCTAAAGGAATATGCCTTGTAAAGATTCATGTAATTGCTGCATTCTTTTTAATAGCCCCCAAAGGAAAAAAATTTTTTTCTAAAAAATGACTGAAAAAAAAAACCAACCCATAACTGTCATCCAGTTATCCAATTCGATCCTGGTTTTATAAATAAACTGGGGCCCAAACAAGGCAGCAGCTAAGCCACCTACTGTGGGACTAACAGCGGCTGGCGCCTTCCCACCGACCACTGTAGGTGGAGAGTGCATTCTATGAAGATCTGCTGCTTACAGATAACAAAACATGTTCACTAGATAGACCATTAAACATCAGACAAAAGATCTTTAACAAAACCTACTTTAATGTATCCAAATGCAGGTAGAGTTTGGGTGGATAATTTCCTTGGCATGTCTATTTCTGGATTAATATGGTGTCGGTCAGGACAGATTCTATTGTCTCTGAAAAAAAATAGATTTTAAAACTAGAAGAAAATTGTTAACATAGATTTTCAGAAAATTAATCTGCAACTTAAATCAGAACTCTTTTATTCCAAGCACCCTAAAAGTTAAGGAACCATATTAAACACTTTAAATGACACTAACAATATGTATATGGAATGGCCTTCCAAAATATAATTAACGCTGAATAACAGCCAATGCCAGTATTTCTCTAGACAGTTTTAAATGTATTATGTAAATGAACAAAATATAGTTCCAAAATAAAAACTTGGAAACAGAAGCATATCACATGACCCACAGCAAAGGCCAATTAGCCTCCAATCCAGAAGCCATTCCTTCACTATAACACTATTTCCAAACTGAGAAACAGCTGAAGTTGCATTTTTTAAATTCAATATCCTATTTAAAGAAATAAAGAGAAATGCTACTGATGACACGTTGAATGTGCTGTAATTGAAAAAAGTTAATGACAACAATGATCTTACAATTAAATTCCATCCCACAGGTGTGCTCAGATGCCCGTACCCCAGCCACCAGGTACCAAGTAGGGTGTCACGTCTGGACCATGCAGAGGGCCCAGGCCTCATGACTGTTGAGCTATTCATGTTCTCCAAATAAAAAAACATTTTTTTACTTTTTTTTCCTGATATCTTAGGGATGAAATCTTGCTATGCTGCCAGGTTGGTCTTGAACTCTTGGGCTCAAGTGGTTCTCCCACCTCAGCCTCCCGAGTAGTTGGGCCACAGGCATGTGCCACCATGCCAGGCCATGCTCTCTAAATTGATCTATAGAATCAATCAGTCCCTATAGAAATTCTAGCAGGGTTTTTGAAGAAACTGACAAGCCTATTCTAAAACTGGTTAAAGATGGGCAAATATACCAATCAATGTAAAGGACAGCATCCAAAAACGAACCACAAATGCTATCACCTGGTGATATCCATCAAAGGCACCAGTTCAGGGAGAACGGGAAGATGATTAAAGTAAACGCTGCTGGGGCAGAGGACCCCCCACGTGAGAAAGGACAGCTTTGCTCTGCTTCTCACACGGCACATACACACTGTCTCAGTATGGACTACAGGTCTAAAAGCTAAACACAGAAAGCTTCTAGAAGAAAATACAGGAGAACGCTTTCATGACCTAGAAATAAACATTTCTTATATAAAGGATACATACAAAATAACCAAGAAATACTTCATCAAAATTAAAAATATCTGTTCATCGAAGGACTATCAAAAGAGTGAAAAGGCAAGCCACAGTCTAGGAGGAGATACTCTCAATGCATGTATCAGACAAAGCACTTGACCTACAATGTATTAATCACTCCCACAAATTAAGACTAAAAGATAAACACCTCCATTTCTCTTTTTGAGACAGGGCCTCATTTTGTTACCCAGACTGGAGTGCAGGGGCACAATCACGGCTCAGTGTAACTTCCAACTCCTGGGCTCAAGCCATCCTCCTGCTTCAACCTTCCAAGAAACTAGGACCACAAGTACGTATCACTGTACCCAGATAAATTAAAACAATTTTTTGTAGAGACAGGATCTTCCCATGTTGCCCAGGCTGGTCTTGAGCTTCTGGTCTGAAGCAATTCTCCTGCCTTGTCTTCCCAAAGTGCTGAGATTATAGGCATGAGCCACTATACCCGGCCTTTTTATTTTACTTGATTATTTATTTACTTACTTACTTATAGACAGAGTCTCATTTTGTTGCCCTGGCTAGAGTGCTGTAGCAACCTCAAACTCTTGGGCTCAAATCCTCTTGCCTCAGCCTTCCAAGTAGATGGGACTACCAGCACCTGCCACACGCCCGGCTATTAATAGAGATGAGGTCTCACTTTGGCTCAGGCTTGTCATGAACTCGTAAGCTCAGGCAATCTACTCATCTCAGCCTCCCAAGCACTAGGATTATAGGCCTGAGCCACCATACCCAGTCTTTTAATTAATTAATTTTTGAGACAGTTTCATTCCGTCACCCTCGGTAGAGTGCCGTGGCATCATAGCTCACAGCAACCTTAAACTCTTGGGGCTTAGGTGATTCACTTGCCTCAGCCTCCCAAGTAGCTGGGACTACAGGCACTCACCACAATGCTTGGCTATTTTCAGAGACAAGGATTTGCTCTTGCTCAGGCTGGTCTCTAACTCGTGAGCTCAGGCAGTCTACCTGCCCTGGCCTCCCAGAATGCTAAGATTATAGGTATGGCGCCTGTCCTTTTAAAAATGGGCAAAAGACCTAATAAACATGTCACAAAGACTACCAAATATCCCACAAGCATATCATTAACCATTAGGGAAATGTGAATTAAAATCACAACGGTGACACCACTATACAAATGCTAAGTGCTGGTGATGACATGCAGCACCTCAAACTCTGTCATATAATAGTAGTATTGACAGGGTTATATAGCGGTCAGTTGATCTCTTTAGAAGTGCTAAACATATGCCTACCCCACAATGTAACAATCCTGCTCCTGAGAACATACCCAGGAGAAATGGGCACGTATTTCCACAACAGGTGTTCATGACAGCTTCATACACAATCCTCCCAAACTGGAAGCCACCCACAGGCCCACCAGGAGAATGAAAAATACATTGTGATATATTCATAAAATGGAATATGGAATAACAAGTAAAATATAATAAAACATGGGCACACATAGCAACACAGATGAGTGTCACCGATGTTAGGTTGAGAGAAAGAAGCCAGATGTCAATTCCATTTATATGAAGTCCAAAACAAGCAGAATTAATGAGCGCTGACACTCTCCAGTGGGTGGGTACGTCCCGGGAGTGCACAGCAGGCCAGGTGTGAAGGATGTCAGGTGCTCCCTCAGAGCTGAGTGGCGGTTCACACGGGTACGTGACAAGTTGGTACGCTGCAAACTCATATCTGCACTTTACTGCATGTTATACCTCAATTTTTTTTTAAAAAAGGAACACTGACTTACTTGCAAAATCCAAAGGCCTTGAGATATGGACAGAGAGGCCTTCTGGCTTTTTTATCTTCCTTGGCTTCCAGAACCCCTGCCGTAAACTCATACAGCTCAGCGGGGACTTTGGCGTCTGCTCGCTCCAAGTAGCGCAGGACACCAACTGCGTGGCCCGCATTTCTCTCCGTCAGCAGCAAGACAGATTTGGTTTTTCTATCTCCCTGTTCTGCAGGAGAACCCTTAAAACAGAAGTGAGTAAATGTAGTGGATCACCTGTACTAGTCTAAACAGGGAAACTCTGCAGACTCGGAATTATCATTACACAGAAAATGCTGGTGACATATTGGAGATAAATTAATCAAACCTGATCAGGTAAACTCTGAAAATGATCTGACATGCAATACAGGCGTCCGCCAAAAATTTTTGGTGAGGAAGGGAAGCTGAAGTGAATCACACATGTGGCATCGGTGATAGCCAGGAGCGGTACACAATCGTCAGTTAAGGCTGGAAAAAAAGGATTCCAACAATTTCGCATGAGTGGGAGTTCACTGCACTCACCGTACCAGGCAGTTCTAGGATCCACAACCCAGCAGATCTCCATGCAAAGAACTTCCCTCAAAATGCCATAGCCCGTGATTAAATTCCAGAGAAAAGTGGTCTCCTTTTAGCTTGAAAAATGCCTCTTTCCTATTAGAAATCCAGGATGCTGGTATATTTTTTCACTTATTTTGCACATTTTGACTTTTATACTTCTAATACTCATATATTGAGGCAGAGTCTCACTCTGTCACTCTGGATAAAGTGCCGTGGCATCATAGATCACAGCAACCTCAAACTCTTGGGCTCAAGTGATCCTACTGCCACAGCCTCCCACGTAGCTGGGACTACAGGCATCTGCCATAATGACTGGCTAGTTTTTCTATTTTTAGTAGAGATGGGGTCTCACTCTTGCTCAGGCTGGTTTCCAACTCCTCTGAGTTCAGCCTCCCAAGGTGTTATGATTACAGGCATGAGCCACTGCGCCCACCCTTGTATTTCTAAATGTGCAGGTCACTTATGACCTCACTGCATGCAGGCATGTTAAGTACACCTACCCACACCTATGTGACAGTGACCTTTCAGCTAAGACTCCAGGAAGACTGTCCAGAGTGAGGGTTGCCACCTACTGACCTGACAGCCCCTGGAGCACCCAGATTCACCTCAACATCAAAATCTTAGTGGAGGTTAATTTTCATTTTGAAATGAGTATGACTAATAAATTCTCAGCAAATCTGGAAATGAGAAATCTGTAGATGAGACACATAAATTAATTGAAGACGAGATTCCTAGTAGCTCAGCCTTCACGAAACCTAAGTAGAAATTAAATTTCTTACCTAATACGATGTGAGAGCCAGGACTTAACTTCTTTTTCCACTGTTCTAGAACACTTTTTAAGCTAAAAGCCATTTCTTTATGCATTTTCAGGCAAAATATCGAACTGCTTTCTACTACCTAAAGAAAGATGAGACCAAAGAGGCCAGTTCACCATCAGGAACATAAACTTGAAGCCAATTGTTCTATCAAGACTATCACATAACCACCTTGAGTGAGCTATGAGGGCAGGAAGTTACTGTCTGGTAACTTGTAAACGAGATGACGGTAAACTTAAATAAATCTATTTCCGAAATCCTGCCGTTTGTATTTAAAAAGTTGCTTTAGTGAAATAAACATTTCACTAAAACCACTTTCCTTCCTTTTTAAATACGGCTCACGGACGTGCCTGTGTGTATGTAACACACACACCAGCTACCCGGTGCTGCTGCTGACGGGGCTTTGGACTCTACCCCCCAGGCCGTCACTGTGGAAAGCTGGATGTTCCGCTGGTCGCTTTATCTTGCATTTGGCCTCCCTTCTCCATTTTAGCTTTAATGTGTACGAAATTAAACTGGATAAATCTTTAGCCTATTCATTTGGCTTTTCTGGCCACATGACAGTGCCTTTTACTTATTTTCTCAATCTTCACAAAATAGAGGGTACAGAAGACATTTATGAATTTTTAAAGAGTTGTGGGTTAATATGAGGTCCCACACACTTAGGTTACCTTGTCAGCCTTTGGAAGGTGAAGTCCGAGGTGCAGTTGAGTCCTCCACTTAGGAGCTCTGTGCCGTGAGCCCTTACATTGTACTCAGAGAGAGGAACTTACCAAGCCCCCCTTTCCTACTTCTTGAATTTAATTGTTTTTCTCTTGTGCAGGCCTAACTTGTAGTTGTTAATCTACTAGTTTCAACATAGTTTTGAATATATGAGATGCTTGCTTTTCTACTTCGTGAAACTTTACTTCGGAGAATGTTCCCTAAATCCATCTGGGTAAATATTTAAAGATGCACTCCATGGCATACACAGACCACAGTTTGTTAATCCCTCCATGAGTTGATGGGCACTTGGGTTGTTTCCACATCTTGGTGACTGAGCTGCTATAAACATTGAAGTGCAAATGTCCTTATGGTAAAATGACTTTTTTTCTTTTGGGTAGACACTGAAGTAATGGGATTGTGAGATCAGATTGGGGGGGGTCTACTTTAAGTTCTTTGAGGATTCTCCATACTTCTAAGAAGCTGTACTGGTTTGCAATCCCACCAACAGTATATAAGTGTTTGCTTTTCTCTGAACTCACACCAGCACCTACAGCTTTGGGACCCTATGATGTGGGCTATTCTCACTGCAGTTAGGTGATATCTCAAAGTGGTTTTGATTTGCATCTCTCTGATGATGAACACTTTTTCAGGTGTTCGTTGGCTATTCGTCTGTCCTCTTGTGAAAAGATTCTGTTCATGTTTCTTGCCCAATGATTAATGGGGTTGTTTGTTCTTTTCTTTTTTTTTTGAGACAGCCTCAAGCTGTCCCCTGGGTAGAGTGCTGTGGCATCACAGCTCACAGTAACCTCCAACTCCTGGGCTTAAGCAAGTCTCCTGCCTCAGCCTCCCAAGTAGCTGGGACCACAGGTGCTGAGCCGTTTGTTCTTTTCATGTTGCTTTGCTTGAGTTCTTGGTAAATTCCAGTTATTAGCCCTTTGTCAGATTTGTAACATGTGAATTCTCTTCTCCTAGTCTGATAGCTGTCTATTTGCTTTGCTGATGTGTCCTCAGCTGTGCAGAAGCTTTTTACCACCACCGGGTCCCGTTTGTTTATCTTTGTTGCTGCTGCACTTACCGATGGGGTGTTCTTCATCAATTCCTTCCCAATGCCTATGTTGGTAATTTTTCCCACACTTTCTTCTAGAGTTTTTATCATTTCATGTCTTAGATTTCAATCTTCTATCTAGCATGAGTTAATTTTTGTAAGTGGTGGGAAGGTATGGGTCCAGTCTCAGTCTTTTACATGTGACTAACCAGTTCTCTTAGCATGATTTATTAAAAATGGGTTCTTTCCCCTGGTGTATGCAATTATTTGCTTTATCAAAGATCAGATGGTGGTATGAGGCTGGTTCCACCTCCAGGGTCTCAATTCTGTCCCCAGATCTGTGTTTCTATTTTTATGCCAACACTATGCTGCTTTCATCACTGTACACTTGTAGTATAACCTGAAATCTGCTAACATGAGACCTCTACATTTATTCTTATTTCATAGAATAGCATTGGCTATTCAGGTTTTTTTGTGGCACCATATAAAATTTAGAATTATTTTTTCAAGACCTTCAAAGTAATATACTGGTATTTTAATGGGGACTGCATTAAATCTATAGATTTCTTTGGTAGTATATACATTTCAACAGTGTTGACTCTTCCCAGCCATGAGCATGGTATGTTCTCCCACTTGTTAATGTCTTCTGCTATTTCTTCTTCTCAGGCTTTCACAGTTCTCTCTTTCACATCCTTTACTAAGTATATTCCAAGGCATTTCATTTTCTTTGAAGAAATAAATGGCTTTCTTGGCTCTGCCCTGCTCCCGCTGGGGGTGTGTGGCTGCTGTGGAAAGGCTGGTTTCACTCGTCCAGACCCTCCCCCAGCACCAGGACTCCTGCCTCACTGAGCAGACTCCACATTCTATTCTAATAATAAACCGGTAAAACTGATTTACCCCACCACATCCTCAACTACAACTATCTCAATTTCCTGATGACTTAAGATTCAACCAGTCTTTAAAAGAACAGTGAGAACATTTTCACATGTGGATGGACCCACCTTAGATACTATTTCTGTTTCAGCTACAGAGCAGGTAAAAATCAAGGTCTTTTGAGCCTGACTTGGAACGAAATCAAGAACCTGGAGTAAAGTAGAAGTTTTTTCACATTCTAGGCAAAGATGCACAACCTGGTAATGAAATACAGAAAACAATGTGAGTTTTAATTAAAATGTTAAAGCTTTTCCAATTTCACTTTTCATAGATAAATGATGATCTCAATAGAAAGGAACGTGCAGGAAATAAATACACATTCAAATATGCAATTACAGATTTGTGTATGATATCAAAGCTACAACTGCTAGATACTAAGCCATGAAGTAAGTTACCTGCTGTGCCACTCACCCTTCCCCTGCCCCACACACGACATGTTACCTGCTGGACACTGCCAAAGAGAGCGGCCTCCTCCATAGCTGTGATCACGATGTAGGGATCATTCATGAACTCTTTGATCAAATGCTCAATATGTGTGCTCCAGTGAACACCAACTGCGACAATCTGATGTGGTGCAGATTCCCGCTCTTCAACTTCAGTATTTTTTTTAAAGTTATCTAATATAGTAAACATCTAAAAATTTAGTATAATTTTATTTTTACTTCCAAAGAGACTAAGAATTCATGTGAGAGAACATAAGATTGTACAGAACTGTACATTTGCTGTTTTTATTTTCTAAAAATAAAAGCAAAGAGAGAGACCAAAAAAGAGAAAATGTTAAATTTAAAGACAACAAACATCCTACAAACGTCATCGAAGGTAAAACTAAATCACCAGCAACATCTTGGTAAACATAGGTAACACAAGTAACAAGGGATTAACATCTTTACATAATGTTTTTTTTTTTTTAAAACAGAGTCTCACTCTGTCATCCTAGATAGAGTGCCATGGTGTCATCATAGCTCATAGCAACCTCAAACTCCTGGGCTCAAGCCATCCTCCTGCCTTAGCCTCCTGAATAGCTGAGACTACAAGCACCTGCCACAACATCTGGCTATTTTTTTTTCTATTTTCAGCAGAGATGGAAGTCTTGGTCTTGTTCATGCTGGTCTCGAACCCCTGGGCCCAAGCAATCCACCTGTCTTGGCCTCCCAGAATGTTAGGATTATAAGTGTGAGCTACTGGACCTAGCCCACATAAAAACTTCTAAAAGCTGATTAGAAAAAGATAATCCCACCAACAGAAAGTAAGAAAAGGAAATGGGCTCAGCCGCCCATAGCACAGTACACAGAGGCTGGTAGGTTCGAACCCAGCTCAGGCCAGCTAAACAACAATAACAAAGGCAACCAAAAAATAGTCAGGCATTGTGGCACGCACCTCTAGTCCCAGCTACTTGGGAGGCTGAGGCAAGAGAATCACTTAAGCCCAAGAGTTAGAGGTTGCTGTGAGCTGTGATGCCACAGAACTCTACTGAGGGTGACATAGCGACACTGTCTCCAAAAAAAAAAAAGAAAAGAAAAAAGAAAAGGAAATGAACAAGCAACTCACAGAGAATGGACATAAATGATCAATATAAACTGTTCAATTTGACACGTAATCAAGGAACTACAACTTGACCCGACCAGGGCCCTCTGTTTGCCATTAAGACTGGAAGAGACAACTTGGCCAAACTGGCTCCTGGCAGGAGTACAAGAAGCATGCTTAAGGTGTAAGCAGGTCTGTTTTCTGAAAGGCAACCGTACAGTGTAGTATACCTGGGTACCTGGGTATTAGTTTTGCAAATAAGAACCTGAGACTTTACAGGAATTCAGGAACTGTGCCCAGCTCCACAGTCAGTAAAGAACAAAGCTTGGACTTGAACGTGGGGCTACCATTACTCCCAAATGCTGGTCATTGTGTTATACTGCTTCCAATACATGCTTTACAAGAATTTAGCCTTTTTTTTTTTTTTAAGAGACAGAGTCTCACTTTATTGCCCTCAGTTGAGTGCCGTGGCGTCACACAGCTCACAGCAACCTCCAACTCCTGGGCTTAGGTGATTCTCTTGCCTCAGCCTTCCAACTAGCTGGGACTACAGGTGCCTGCCATAACACCCGGCTATTTTCTTGTTGTTGTTGCAGTTTGACTGGGACTGGGTTTGAACCTGTCACCCTTGGTATATGGGGCTCGCGCTACCCAAGAATTCAGCCTTTAATCCATTATCCCTTCCCAGAAATTCACACTAAGGGAAACAGGCACAAAAAGAACACATATTCTTTAGGCATGCATATACGCAAATTATGTTAAAAGTCCAAAAATAGGATAGTTTTAAAATAAATTGTGGTATGCCCATCCAATTCAATACCATATGGCCAGTAACGGCCATGCTGTAGGACAGGAAGTGCTAATACTCACAATGCTGCTCACTGCTCCACGCAAGTTACAGAGCAGCATCTAAAGTGCGCCCTGGACGGTCAGCCATGGCCCTCAATGGGCAGGAAGGTTTCATGGAGGAAGGACACACTCTGACGTGGTGCAAGTGGTCACCTCTGGGGGGGGAGGGGCGGGAGTGTGGGGGGGTGGGCTGTCTTCATGCACTTTTCTCCATTTCTCAATTTTTCTAAAATAAAAACTATTGCTTCTACAATCAGAAGATTATTAATTAAATATCTGTTTCAGAAAATCTCCCTGGGAAAGAATTTTTCCTCTTCAGAAGTAACTTTAACATGGAAGGACATTACTGATCAACATTTTCTCTCATGACAGAAGTTAAATGGAAAATACCTTAAGTTAACCTATTTCTATCCCAACTAGACGCTTTTCCTCAGTCCTTCACAAGGTTAGACTTCAATCCCATGCAGCTTTAGAGTGACATCAGAACGGATGCCATACTTACTTGTTCCTTAGCTTCGAAGAATAATACTTCCACCTCATCTAAAACCAGGTGACACAGTCTAAGAAATAACAAGCTTTGGTATGTGAGAAGTCTCAGGAGGCTATGTGGTGTCGTAACAATCACATCACCTACATTTTAAAAGAAAAAACAAACATTTTTGATTTTCCACACATTTTTCTAACATTTTCTTTGCTGAGACTCCATACTTCCCAGAAGTGCCCTTTTATATTCTTTTGGGACAGTCTCACTGTGTGCCCTGGGTAGAGTGCTATGACATCATAGCTCACAGCAACCTCAAATTCTAGGGCTCAAGAAATCCTCTTACCTCACTTCCCAACCAGCTTGGACTACAGGTACCTGCCACAAAGCCTGGCTAATTATTTTCAGAGACAGAGTCTCACTCTTGCTCAACCTGGTCAAGAACTTGTGAGCTCAGGCAATCCACCTGCCTGGGCCTCTGAGAGTGCTGGGATTACAGGCATGAACCACCATGCCTAGCCTAGAAGCACCTTCTAACTAAACAAAAAGTTGCTTTTCACTCAGGTGACTGAGGCAGGACACATACCAGGATGACCCCGCTGTCGTCATCTGACTCAATGCCTGGGCTCTCCCAGACTTTGTGCTCTAGCAAGGCAGGGTGCCCAGGCCTGACAAGCATACTGCGTGGACAGGTGACAATGAAGGAAATCCCAGTTTTCTCAGTGACACACGCAAGCCCAGACTTCACGCCTGATACCCATGGGTAACTGACCAGTGAGATCTGGACTAGTGACGGTCACTTTACCACCACACAGTCATGGCACCTGCGGGAGGTTCCACCGTCTCCTGTAGGGAAAACCAAACACCATGGAAAGGAAGCTTACACCCCCTCGGAAGCTTCATGTTTTTGGCTTCATCCTTGTGAAGTCCGATGGTCAGTAACACAGGATGAAGAGGCCTGGAGGACACGTTATAGTCTCCCAGTAATTCACAAATGAATTGAGCCTTTTTCCATCCAGGGCACACGATGACTGCAAGAGGCTGCAAAGACAAAGAAACTCAAGTCATTCTGGACGACACTTGGGAATCAAAGACACTATATGTGAGATGGCCAGAACACCTTCTCGCACAGAGTAAGCATTACCTGAGTTTCTGGGGGTCACTGTCATCACATAGGTCAGAAAGTTAAAATGGAATTGCATTAAAATAGATTTAGACACAATGAATCAAATATTCCTAGGGCTTAAACTAAGAACTTCACAAGTATTCTAAGAATTCATTCAGTCCTTAAAACTCTCCTGTGGGGAGGGGCCTGCTGTTCCTTCTCTTCACGGAGGAGTCTGAGGCACAGGCAGCCACATCCACGCCTGGCTGCACAGTGGATGAGCGGCAGCCGTGGGACTGGGATCTAGGCCTCTGGCTCCAGACCCTGCTCCTCAGCACTGTGTCTGGCAAATGAAAATCTCTAAAGGGAAATCACGAAACTGCGGAGACTAAGAAACATAAACTACTTTCTTTTGCAGCTGCCCCTTTATGTTTTACCTCTGCCATCTTTCCCCATGTGATCAGTGGCAGAACCGTCTGCGGTGCTCCCTTTGTGCCAGGGTGGGAGTGAGATGGCAATCTCACATCCATCAATCACCTGATAGCCGAAACCCGGCGGGGCAGGCGTCATGACCCACCACACCTGACCCTCACATCCATTTCTCTGCCTTCCATTATCCTTCCTAGTCATTTCCAGATTCTTAAACATGGGAAAAATTAGATTATAAAATAACTTAATGAGATAAACTAACAGAAACTTAAATTCTAACCCCACATCTACCACTTGTCAGCTATTAAAATTCATCCCAGTAACTTTTTTTCTGAGTTTACTTTTCTCATCTATAAAATAGTGAAAACAATTCATAGTCTGACCTTCTCACGTGGCTGCCTGACAGTCAGATAACTCAAGGCTAGTGATATCATTTTATAACCTGAACATGCATCTCCAGTCAGTGGCCCACAACTGGGGGTTTGAGGCGAGGCCAGTGCACAAGAACCAACAGCTGGGAGAAGAGGAAGGAGACTTTCCCAGGACAGTCTCTGTGCTGGTAGCTCCAAAACAGGATTGAGTAAGGTAACCCAACCTTTACCCAAAGTTCAGGTGTACAATTTAAAAACGAGGATTTAGGCATTCTGCTCAGAAGCAGAACTGTCTTAAACTTACTCCGCTTCGGCTCGGGAGGGACTTGTAGCAGCCCCCGGTCTGCAGGATGGTGAGTATGGGCGGGAGGTACAACAAAGGGTCGTTTCCACAGTGAGAGATCACAACCGCGTCACAGCCCCGCGCGATGGGGGGCCAGGAGTAAGACTGCGTGTGATTAGGTCCCAGGAATTTATTTCTTTGAAGAGCCTACAAAACACCAACAATCACAAGCTATGATAAAGCAAACTTCACAAAGCCTCCCTCTCATCACTTTCGTTACTCCAAAACCACCACACAGCATTTAATCGGGCATTTTTCCAAGACCTAACGTGATTAAGTTCCCCCAAACCTTTTCTCAGTACCAGACTTCTATTAAAAGACTCTTGCTCCTGTAGGCCCCAAATTATTCTTATAATAAAAAGATTCGATAGGTGGTCCATAGACCAGGATCTAACACCTCAGTGGAACAAGGATGTTGCTTTTTCTCCTTATTCTCCCAATGACTCCTGTTCATCAGTTTCATTTACAAAGCTTTTTAGAAACATGCTTTTATTTGCTTATTTTCCATCGTAACTGTAGCCCAAATGTTCCAGCGCAGCTCTCAGCCACACAGGGCTAAGCCTAATCCTAACCTCCTGAAAGGCTGGGCTGGTCCCGGGAGGTCCTCCTCCTGGTCCTGAAGCCCAGCGTTCTATACTTGCTACTCAGCTCTTCTCCTGGGACTGTCCCTGCCAGCATCCTTTTGGCTGCAACCCGAGTGTGGGTTACTTCTTTGTTCTGGTGGAGAATATATTTCAAGAGCTTCTTGACAAAGGGCCCAGAGAATACATTTTTTTGAGCCTTCACACGTCTAAAAATATCTTCTGTCTGTGCTGATACTCCACTCAGTTACAGCACGGATCTCTGGATTAGAAATACTTTTACTGAGACCCTCACTCTCGTTGCCTGGCTATATTGCAACAATCTCAAACTCCTAGGCCCAGGCGATCTTCCTGCCCCAGCATCCCAACTAGCTGGGACTACAGGTGCCCACTACAATGCTTGGCTTTAGTAAAGGCAGGGTCTCACTCTTGCTTGGGCTGGTTTCAAACTCCTAAGCTCAAGCAATTCACCTGCCTTGGCCTCCCAGAGTGCTGGGATTACAGAAGTGAGCCACCACGCCCACCCAGAAATAACTTTTCATCAGAATTTTGAAGTCAGCACTCTTCTGGTGCATTGTAGAGAAGTCTGAAACCTTCCTGGGCCGGTATGTAGGCCCATTTCTTCTCTCTAGAAGCTTTTTCTCTCTTTTTTTTTTTTTTTTGAGACAGAGTCTCACTTTGTCACCCTTGGTAAAGTGCCACAGCATCACAGCTCACAGCAACCTCCAGCTCTTGGGCTTAGGCGATTCTCTTGCCTCAGCTTCCCCAGTAGCTGGGACTACAGGTGTCCACCACAAAACTCGCCTAATTTTTTGTTGCAGTTTGGCTGGGGCCAGGTTCAAACCCGCCACCCTCAGGATATGGGGCCAGTGCCCTACTCACTGAGCCACAGGGACCGTCCAGCCACGACCCTTTAATACAGTTCCTCATGTTGTGGTGACCCCCAAGCATAAAATTGTTTTCGTTGCTACTTTAGAACTGTAATTTTGCTACTGTTATGAATTGTAATGTGAATATCTGATATGCAGGATGGTCCTAGGCGACCCCTGTGAAAGGGTCATTTGGACCCCTAAAGGGGTCTGCGACCCACAGGTTGAGAACCGCTGCTTTAGAGGTTTATTCTTGTTGTTTTAAGGTGAAGCTTTCTTCAAATGTCCATGACAAGACATCTCACTGAAGAGGGAGACACAGTAAGCCTACTGGAAGCTCTGGCCAGGCAGATCTCGTCACCCTGAGTGTCACCTCAGTGCAGGGAGACATGGCAGCAACTTGGCACTTTTAGGGAGGATTCCAACTAACATCAGTCACTTCTCTAAAGCCATACTCAGTTTCTCCAAAAAGAGGCCCCACTCTCCCTCCTAGGAAAAACACAGATGGGCTGTGAGGTTCAGGACACACAGTGGGGTGTGGGCTCACTGTCCAGATGGTGCTCACACTCTGCCACTGCTCTCCATCTTCCAAAGGCCTGATCCACCCAAGACTTCTCTTCCCTTCTAGCCATCCTTGCAGTTTCATGGTTTTTTTTTCTTGCAGTTTTTGGTGGGGGCTGGGTTTGAACCCACCACTTCCGGCATATGGGGCTGGCGTTCCACTCCTTTGAGCCACAGGCACTGCCTGCATGTTTTAAAAAATACTTCTAAACCTTTTTGATCAGAAAGGAAGTGAATAAACAAGTATGATTCATGCCGCATGTGAGAGGAGCAGCTCTGAGGCATCACAGGCGTCAGGAGTGGCTGCCCTCAGGCCCCTTTCCAAGGGACATGTGAAAACTTATTTTAGGAGAAGATTTACAGTTATGCAGTGGCTCTCCACAAGGAATTATTCACCTATAAGATATTAATCTGGACTTAAGAATAAATAAGAAATTAATAGACAAAGTTTAAAAGAACATTTCGAAGGCAAAGAAATTATACAAAGCAACCATATAATGTTTATTTTTAAAAAATCCTTCTATGGCTCCTGTGGCTCAATGGAGTAGGGCGCTGGCCCCATATGCCGGAGGTGGTGGGTTCAAACCCAACCCTGGCTAAAAACAGCAAAAAAAAAAAAAAAAAAAAAAATCCTTCTATACTAAAAAGTTTGATATTTCTTCACAAGTTTGATTTTAAGAGCATACTTACCTTTTTCACATCTGCTGAGAGTGGTGACAGCTCAATGCTCAGGCAAGGCTCAATCTTGTTTCGGAGCACCACAGCCGGCAGCTGCACGCCTGACTTCAACTTCTGTAACTGTGCAGACGTGTGCAGCAGACGAAGAGGCATGGGCACAGAACACAGAGAACCTCATCAGCGTGGCCTCACGCTACAACTTGGACTCAACAAACACAAACGATGTACTACAATTAATTATACCCTCATGTTAATCTAAAAAACCCTTTATAAACATGAAAAAAACCCAGAGATTTCAATGTATAAACCTTAGTAAATATGTTTATAAAAGAACACTAAAACCACCAAAATGAAAGATCTATTACTTAAATACAACAAAAGTAATTTCTCTGAAGCAATAATCCATTAGATAATTTCTTAATTTCTTTCTTTTTTTTTTTTCTGAGACAGAGTCTCACTCTGTTACCCTGCCATCATAGCTCACAACAACCTCAAACTCTTGAGTTCAACGGATCCTCTTGCCTCAGCCTCCCAAGTAGTTGGGTCTACTGGTGCCTGACACACCTGGCTACTTTTTCTATTTTTAGTAGAGATGGGTCTTAGTCTTGCTCAGGCTGGTCTCAAACTCCTGAGGGTATGTGATTCTCCTGCCTTAGCCTCTCAGAGGGCTGGGATTACAGGTGTGAGCCACCATGCCTGGCCCCCACTAGATAATTTCTAAAAGGATGTCTTTAGGCCAAGCCTCCCATCTAAGAGATTTTTCATCTAATCTCAAGACTGGAGACATGAAGGAGAAGAATTTTTTTTTTTTTTTTTTTTTGAGAGCAGAGTCTCAAGCTGTTGCTCTGGGTAGAGTGCCATGGCAATACAGCTCACAGCAACCTAAAACTTTTGGACTTAAGCCATTCTCTTGCCTCAGCCTCCCAAGTAGCTGGGATTACAGGCGCCCGTTATAATGCCCGGCTATTTTTTGGTTGTAGTTGTTGTCATTGTTGGTTGGTGGGCCCAGGCTGGATTCGAACCCGCTAGTTCTAGTGTATGTGCCTGGTGCCCTAGATCCTGAGCTACAGGCACTGAGCTGAGACAAATTTCTTTTTAAGACATGGAATTTTGCTCTCTCTCCCCTCAAACTCCCGGCTCAAGTGATCCTCCCACCTCAGCACCCTAGAGGCTGCACCTATAGATGCACACCACTATGCCTGCCTAAGAAAAGATGAGAATTTAAAGAGAAAAGTTTTCTCTTTTTTTGTCACTTTTTAGGGCCAGTATTACCTGCTGCAGATCAGAGTTCCCATCAGCTCTCAAAGGATCAGGATTTAAAAATTGCAGTAATCTGTAAAATAGTTAAAAAACAATTTGAAGAAACTGGTGTTTACATTTCTCCAATTGAGCTATTTTTCAATCTTCCTTGACAGAGACGGAATGGACTGAATATCCCAAGGCACAGTGGGGTGTGGACACCTGCGGGTCACAGTGGTGGCCTGGATGCCTGCAGGTCACAGTGTCACAGTGGTGGCCTGGCCCACTTGTGGGTTACAGTGGACACTGATGGCCTGGTCACCTGTGGGTTACGGTGGCACAGTGGTGGCTGGGCCCACCTATGTGTTACATGAAAACCTAAGCTTCTAAGATTTTGGTGGGGGGGGCACCAAGGCCCTTCTCTGAGTGTCTGAGATGGTCCCGGCCAAGCCCAGGAACCACTGCTCTGTTTCACTTCTTTATTTTATGGGTAAGAAAGTAAGACCATGTAGGATGTGCCCACTACCGCCTCTGCTAACTGAGAGGAACAAAAAATGGCAGGAAGAGTATTTCAGGGTTAATTTACGAGGGTCTAGTGTCAAATAACAAAGGAAACAAATGAGCTGGTGGACCCTGCGATACCTTTTGTTTCAGGACAATAACCACTGGCTGGGAAGCCCTCTGGCTGAAGGCGGCCCTGGGAGGAGAGTTCAGCCAGGGGTGTAGACAGCCACCTGCTCTGGGGGCTCCAGGGCCACCTCTCAAGCTGTGGCTTTAGAATGCTCTCGAGGGGTGAGAGGCCCCAGCAGGCCATCAGGATGGGCTCTAGGCAGCCAGGTGGCCAGCACGGCTGCATAGTCAGCCCCCTGCAACCTGCGAGCCTGGCTGTGGACTAGGGACTCTAAGTGCCTTCAACTCTGTTGCTCTGAAAACTCTGAAGACTCCAGAGTAGCCACAGTCACTTGGAATTAAGAGTGTTTAGACTGCTATGGTAAAAGTATCACAAAAATTGCTATGAAAATATTTTGTAGATTAAACAAGTATAAAATAAAGTTGCTGCTCTGTTGTTCGCAGGCTCTCTCACAGGTGCTAGACCTCAACATCAGAACACCGGGAAAATAAGCAAACACCAAGCCACAGAAAATCAACAGCCCAAAACAACTGTAAGTCTTTTCCTTCCTTCCTTCCTTCCTTCGCTTTCCTCTCCTCTTCCTTCCTTTCCTCCTCTCTTTGCTTTCCTTTCCTTCCACCTTTTGTTTTTTTTTTGAAACAGAGTCTCACTCTGTCACCCTGGGTAGTGTCATGGTGTCATCAGAGCCCACAGCAACCTCAGACTCGTGGATGCAAGCCATCCTCCTGCCTCAGCCTGCCAACTAGCTGGGACCGCAGTATGCCCCACCACTCCCGGCTAAGTTTTGCTGTTTATTTGATAGAGATGGGGTCTTGCTTTTGCTCAGGCTGGTCTCGAACTCCTGACCTCAAGCAATCCACCCACCTTGGCCTTCCAGAGTGCTGAGATTACAGGTATGAGCCACTGTGCCCAGCCCTCTAATTCATTTTGTAGAATGTGCCAAGAGAGGGCGGTGCCTGTGGCTCAGTGAGTAGGGTGCTAGCTCTATACCCAGGGTGGCAGGTTCAAACGCAGCCCCAGCTGAACTGCAACAAAAAAATAGCCAGGCGTTGTGGCAGTTGCCTGTAGTTCCAGCTACTTGGGAGGCTGAGGCAAGAGAATCGGCTAAGCCCAGGAGTTGGAGGTTGCTGTGAGCTATGTGACTCCAAGGCACTCTACCCAGGGAAACAAAGTAAGACTCTTACTCCAAAAAAAAAAAAAAAAAAAAAAAATATATATATATATATATATGTATATATGTATGCGCCAAAAGAAGAAGAGGAGGTAGAAAACAACTACTTACACTGCTCAGAGCTCTGAAGAGGAGAAACTATCCCAGGGAACGGGAAGCAAAAAGCTAACTTCAAAGCCTACAGGAGACTTACTGTGCATGTATTTTTTGACGAAAACACAGGTGTTAAATTAATAATAAAATATAGAAATGCATTCTTCTCATATCTACAATTATTGAAGTAAACAATTCAGGCCAAGAAAGACTTCTTACTTCACGCAGCCATTCTTCTCATCATATTCTTTCTTCTCCACCAATCTAAGCGGCTTCTCGTTTGGCTTCTGACCTAAAGAACTAGAAATTAAAAAACATTAAAACTTATGAATCCATTTATTTCAAGTATGAAAGTATCTTTATTTTCTAGGAAAAAATTTAAGAAGCACCCCTGAGGAATTCATTTACCTACATAAAGTACATTTCTGTGAGAACTGAAGCTTATCCCTTTAAGGGCAAAAACCATTCTGGAAACCCCTGGTGCCGGCCAAGGTGAAGAGGCAGCCACAGCACCCACGGCTAGCCACTCCTGCTTATCACAACCAGACACCCCGCATGAGGAGGGAAGCAACAAAGGAGAAAAGTTAACGCTTGAAAAACAAACAGGATCACGAAGTATTTCTTGGGTTTTCTCCCTCGATTTCTTGGTGTTGACCTGAAGGTGAACTGAGCAGCAGACGCAGACGTCAGAAACCCCTAGAATGCTGGGTGCCGGGTGCCTCGGCTCACAGCTACAGTCCCAAGACTCAGAAAGCTGAGGCAGGACAGAACCAGCCCAGGAGTGGGAGCTGCAGTAAGCTCTGATCAGCCACTGCACTCATCCTGGGCAAAAGAACAAGACCCCACCTCTAAAAGCAAACAAACTCCGAGGCAGACCTCTCTTACTCCAAGCCAGAGAAACTGGCAAGACACATCATTTAAACCAAAGGGTGTAAGGAACGCCACTGTTTTTCTCCCCCCGCCCCCGCCCCGTTTCTCTGCTGACCCTGCCTCCAAAATCAGCTCCACCTTAGAGCTGCTCATAGAAAAGGCAGCATCAAAATGGTCACCTAAAACCCCGAGAGAAAACCTGTCCTCGCAGCCAGAGAAACTAGGAAACGAGAACCCTGTGGCCCCTACGAGGGGAAAATGCATCTTTCTCCCTTATTTCTACTTCTCTTTTGTTTCCAAAGTCGGCAGTTCCACGTTACTGTACAGTAATTTCTCTGAGAGGCGACTGTCAGAGAAGCAACACCTGGAAACTAGTCAATATGCAGGAAATACAGAGACATGGAGAGGGGTTCTCTTATTTCTCTTTATGACCCAACATAAGTCCCAAGGCTCATCCCAAGTTAAGAATATGTACACCAGGCACAGTGGTTGAGAGGCCAAGGTAGTTGGATTGCCTGAGCTGAGGAAGTTTTTCTATTTTTAGTACATTTGGGGTCTCCCTCTTGCTCAGGATGGTCTCAATCCTGAGCTCAAGCAATCCACCCACCTCTGCCTCCCAGAGTGCTGGGATTACAGGCATGAGCCACTGTGCCCAGATGAAAATTTTAGAAATGAAAAATAAACCAAAATACAACATTCACTAGATGGGCTCAACGGAGAACAGAGATGACGGAAGAGTCAACTAACTTATAAAAAGATTAGTCAAATTATTAATCTGAAGACTAGCAAGGAAAAAAATGTCGAAAAAAATGAACAGTTTCAGGGACCTTAGGGACAATATCAAAATGCCTGACTTTTGTTTCATCTGAGTCTCAAAAGGAGAAGAAAAAGAGATTGGTGCAGCAAAAATATATGTAGAAATGGCAGAATACATCCCAAATTTAACAAAAGATACAAGCTGTACATGAGTAACATTAATGTACCCCGAGCATAAAAAACGTGATGGAGACCACACCACGGCCCTGCGCTGACAGAGACCACACCACGGCCCTGCGCTGGTAGAGACCACACCACGGCCCTGCGCTCACGGAGACCACACCACGGCCCTGCGCTGACGGAGACCACACCACGGCCCTGCGATGACGGAGACCACACCACGGCCCTGCGCTGATGGAGACCACACCACGGCCCTGCGCTGACGGAGACCACACCACGGCCCTGCGCTGGTAGAGACCACACC